CATGATATCATGTCACTCAGTGATTACATGACAGCTTGATCTACAGCTACATAACACATAAATTGAATGTTATGTTCATGTAAAGCAGCAATTTACATATTGTAAACAAACATTGATGGATTCTTGTGACATTAAAAATGTCACCAACTTAAAATAAAACATGAAATTTGAAGATCATCAACAAATAGACAAGTTTCAAGTTACAGCACCATAAGTTATTTTTTGTGCGAGAATAAGGAGTTGATTTATAGCTCAAGCAATTCGTTTGCTGGTTTCCCTGGTTACCAACCCTATCATCCCCTCCTGAAATTTAGAACGTTTACACAAGAGCGTGCAAGTTTCTAAGGTAACAGAAAAACTTATAACTCTAAATTAACCCAAATGTATGCCTGTAACTGACACTACAATTCATTATATTTTCTATGGTGTAAATTATTATCATTTTTTGCATTGCCATTGATTTCTTTGTTGTTGGTTTGCAATGCACTGTTAAGTGGCATACTGTTAGTGTGTAGAACATCGTTGGTCGCAGACTCCTTCTTCACTTTCTTGGATGGTATTGCTATTGCCACAACCAGTATAGTGAATACAATAATATGGCCAATGAAATAGCATGAACTATAACAAGAGAGAGAAAATAGTACTCAGTTTGATATTAATGCAATATAACAGAAAGGGCTGTTCAGTTAAGATGTTTTTAAGTATAAAATAAATCTAAAAAAAGAGAGAGCAAAATGATTAGATCGAGAGAGCAAAATGATGAGTTTGTGACACCCAAATGAAGAGATCGTGTCACCCAAATGATGATATCGTGTCACCCAAATGATGATATCACGTCACCCAAATGATGAGATCGTGTCACCCAAATGATGAGATCGTGTCACCCAAATAATGAGATCGTGTCACCCAAATAATGAGATCGTGTCACCCAAATGAAGAGATCGTGTCACCCAAATGAAGAGATCGTGTCACCCAAATGATGAGATAGTGTCACCCAAATGAAGAAATCGTGTCACCCAAATGATGAGATTGTGTCACCCAAATGAAAAGATCGCGTCACCCAAATGAAGAGATCGCGTCACCCAAATGAAGAGATCGCTCACCCAAAT